TGTCTGACGCGTCTGCCTCCGCGACCCGAAAGGAGAAGCGGCGATGGAAGATGAAGATGAAGATGGAAAGCTAAGACCTGGAAAATCGTAATAACCTCATAAAAGTATTAGGTTCACGCGGTCATTTATTTGAATGGAGCACAACAATTGTTGTTGTTGCTATTGGTTCTCTGCTAAAGTTACTGTTTGCTTACTGATCATTGTTTAAGCTTGTTAACTGTAATAACTGACTGATTTTTGCTTAAATAGTCCCCCTGGGTGATCAGAAGAAAGAGGGTGGTGTAGCACTGCGGTAGATCCGGTGTAGAGGCTTCTTTCTGTCTTACACTATTGCTGTAAAGAGAAGGAAAAAACTTCTTACTTTATACGGTACGTTTCTGAATTGCAAATCCGGTATCAAGGTTTGAAATGTAGTTTTTATCGGCGGTAATGTAAGCTCTCATTCGTGGAAGCTGCCACAGAACTTCGGGTTGTATTTTGTTTATTTGGCTTGTTCGATATGTGCAGTGTTTGTTTGTTGATTTGTTTATGTTGTTAAAGCAGCCTTAAACTGCCGGTAAATAAACAATAAACTGAACAGCGTTGCTCAATTTAATATTTCTGCAAGCCATCTACTTTAAAATACAGTGTTTAAACCATGCAATATGGAGGCGTCGGATTTTTACAACTGCGTCATTCTGTCTCCTGTGCTTGCCTGTACGGTGCAAACTTAGCAGTCTCCCTCCATCCAACAGTAACTGTTGCCATTACATACTCACTACAATGTCATTCATACTCGACCTGCTATCACTGGTGATCCGCACCGCCCAGTTCCTACAGACCGTCAACGTCCAGTGGGACGAAATCGACGTGTTTGTTCATTTGCGAAGAACTGAACAAACGGAAAGCCATTCGAACGATGATGCGCGAGCGATATGCCATTCAGAGGAGGATATCGAACGATCGGATATCGGATATCTATTGTCGACGGAGATCAACAGTACAACTGAAACGACGTCAACGGCCAACAACGAGCGCAAAATTATCCTCCGTAGAAAGAACCGACGAAATCGTCGTAGGCGAAAGAAAAGAAGCGCGAAAGTTCGAAGGCGAAAAGCGAACAATCGCAGAACGAAGGGGCGGTTGTCGCGCGTGCACTGACAAGTGAAATTGAACTCATCCGATTTCATCGAAATTCAGTCTGATGGCTGACTGATACCGGTCTATATTACTTATATGCTACTATTCACGATAAAGATAGTTTATTAAATAACTTAATAAAGTGTCTATTTATACGGTTGTTGCTTATTACATTTTCATCGCAAGTTTACGACGCTTGACACGACGATTTGTACAAAATTATAATGTCCGACCTTCACACGTAGTGCCTCACGATAGAACAACGTTCGATGCAGTTCGTTCGTTCACATTTCTTGGTCACAATCAGGCATGCTTCAACGTTCCGAAAAAAAATCGTCTTACCGTCCAAGCAGAATCCAGGACTGGAGCCGTATTTCAAGAGGTCTCTGATTTTAACAGCGTACTGCCGACCGTTATGCCGATTAATGGCTCTATGAACTGTTGATGTTGGGCTTCTAAAAAATATTTTTTACCGAATGCCACAAACGGATGCTGCATATCATAACTGAACTTATTATTTAAAACTCAATTTCACATTCAGAACAATCACTAAAATGTGCTTGTCATCGATTCCATGGACCTTTTATCAGAAGAAGCTCACATTTCCAATCATCATACTATTAAAACATAAGTATCTGTAGACTTTGCCGGTTGCCGGTCCCAAGCCCAGATGAAAAAAGAGGAGGGTTGGAAACCATGGCGAAGTTACCGTAAAACTTTGCCACCTGCTCCTCACAGAATTTTCGCCATCAACATCATACAGCTCGGTTCTCGCCCCGGTTACCGGGGGTCGCACAGGCTGCGAAAAGTCAGTCAGCGATCAGAACCTGCTGATCGCCGTCTGGTAGCCGGTAGCGCAGAAGCACAACAGCGGCTGACGAAGATACCAGTCAGCAACGGATTCGTTGCCCGTTCTCAACAGAGGAGGCAGACAGTACCATGCCATTATAACATGTCATATAAGGCTCAACGGCAACGACATCGACATTGGGAGCTTACAGTCGGAAAATGGAACATATCCTCACTCAGACGGAAAGACCATGAGCTAGTAGATGAAGCCGCAAAATACCAATTCGACAAAGAAACGCCACAACTGTGAAATCCTGAACCTCTGCGAGTGGACGCTACTCTATTCATGTGTCGATATCACGATGCGCGCACACACCGGTGTTGGTGTTCTGGTGGAACCATGGCTAGCAAAATTATTAAATGCAAGCCTGTCAGCGAAAGGATGACAATCCTTTGACTGAAGCAACAACAGGCTAAAGTGGCCACATTGTTACAAGTCTGTGCGCCCAATTTACAGGGAGAATTTAATTAATTATTAGAGGAAGTGGAGTGCGCTCTGTATGAAGTGCCGGATACGGAGTCCTTCATATTCGTGGGTGATTTTAATGCGCATGTAAAAGCAGATGCTGAAAAGTGGAACGACCTCAAAAAATATCATCATGAAGTTGTTGCAGTTTTCTGCAAACAGCGAACTGTCCATTATGAACACCTTCTTCGAGCATCCAAACGTGCATCAGTGCACCTGGTAGAGGGAAGCTTGTGCACAGAAGTCATGATCTGTTTGATAACCACACTGTCTGGCTTACGATGCTCTATAATGGATGTTTGCATTAGAAGAAGCGCAGAGCTGCCAGCCGATCACCACCTTGTCGCTGGCGCGCTACGGTGTGAAAAATGGAGAACCGTGCAAAGATCTGGTGGCAAAAACAACCAGGGTCTCAAATGGTAAACATTAACTTCCGCGGACACGAGAGCGAAACTTGCAAACATCACATGACGGTTTGAACAGATCCCGGTGACGACCACTGATGTGGCAACCGAGTGGGAGCTCCTTAAGAACGGCGAACTCCGGGCTATAGCCGAATGCTTCGGATTCAAACGATTTCGTTTCCTTCCAGGAAGTCAGAAAAGAGCTTCTTGGTGGACACGAGAGGTACAAATGGCAGTTAAAGAAAAGGCTGCATTCAAGAAATGGCTGGGAAGCGAAGAGCCTTCAACTCGCATGTGATATGTCGAAGCGCGCAAGGTTGCAGCGAAAGCAGTGGCGAAAGCCAAAGCTTATTCCTGAGAGAAGTTCGGTGATGTGCTGAAGTCGAATTTCCACACAGCAAACAAGGTATTCTGGCAGACCATCCGCCGGTTCCGAGGTGAAAAGAAGGGCAGTCTAAGAGTCTTGACGGACAAGTCTGGACACCCTCTGACTGATGATGATGATATTTTGCGGCTATGGAGAGAGTGTTTTGAGAAACTCCTTAAGCACAGGAAGACTCGCGTGTAGAACAGCAGGGAACGGACATTACTATGTCTGTTGATGAAATCACGCAAGCTTGAAAACCTTTGAAAAATGGAAATCCTGCTGCAATCAATGAAATCGCCCTAAAATGCTTAAAGCAATAAGCGAACAATGCATATTGGCTGACCGAGTCCGCCAAACTGCAATGCTACAAGAAAGACACCAAGGACTGGAGAACGGAGGTTGTATTACCCCTGTTCAAGAAGGGAGTCCATATGGAGAGCTCCAACTATCTGGGCATTACCTTACTGAACTTTCCGGGCAAGTCAACACGTAGGTGATAGAAAGAAGGGGCTACGGAATAACTGACTCTAAAATATAAGAATGGCAAGGCGGCGTCAGGTCTGGCCGAAGCACCTCTAACCAGATATAGGCCTTACGCCAGACTGTTAAGAAATCGTGGGAATTTGCACATCCGGCATAAACGTGTTTTGTGAACGTAGAGAAAGCCTATGACCGGATCCCGTGCAACAGTCTATAGACGTGCGTGCAAACATATGGGATCGATGGCCAGGTGCTCTGAGCCATTTAATCACTATATGCTGATTGCTGATGCTGTATCAAAATAAATGGCGCAAAGTCGAAGGCTTTTAGGGCTGACAATGGTCTCCGCCAAGGCGATGAGTGTATGGGTGTAGGAGATGTCGAGACAAGATGGTTGCTGTTCGCAAAGAGCCTTGTTATATTAGCATCTTCTGAAACTGGTCAACATGCTGGCAGGAAAGGACTGCAGCCGCGTGCGAACGTTTTTAAAACGAAAGGCATAGTGCTTCCTAGTTCTCCTACCCGTTGTGCTCCTCAGATAAACGAAGTAGTGGAGCAGGTGAAAAAGTTCAAGTACCTCGAGGTCGTGTTTACTGGTGGTGGAAAATTTGAGGAAGAGATCGACCAGCGGATTGGAGCAGGCAGTGGAGCTCTACGTGAAGCAGTCCGAATCGTTGTTACGAAAGTTGATATGAGTCTGAAGAATAAGCTCTCGGTGTTCAAGTGGATCTTCATCCCATGCTTATCTATGGTTACGAGTCGTGGACTATGGCTGAAAAACTTCGGTCCCGGGTACAAGCGGTTGAAA